GAGGTCACGAAAGGTAGCCTGGTAAGGACTACCTTGAGTTTGCTTTGCGAAGCAAAGGGACTGGCTTGAGAGCTTGCTCGGGACTAAAGATTGGTAGATCAATGTCTAACACCCCCACCCTCCCCTCCCATGTGATGAATGATTGATAAATCAATTGATTCGACCCCCCCCCCTCCCCTCCACTCCCCTCCCCGTCCCCTCCCCTCGTCGCCAGCACTACTAAATTCTGGACATAAGGTGAAGTCATGCGCTTAACAGTCACAGCAGTACGACGCTGGCCATGAGGTTGCGCAATACAGCACGAACCCTGCGCAATGAGGTCGCGCAATGCAGCTTCGATGCCACGCGTGCGCACCCGGCAGCCTGACACAGCGCGTACTGCGTTCACAGACCATATTGCTCGACACCAACGAGCATCGATGCAACACAGCCTCTTTGCAAAGCCCTGTGGAGAAACCCCTCGCGTCGCGGAACACCATTCGACTCAGCCTTATACCCTAGCGTGGCGAAATCTTACCGCATCGTGGAGCACACCCACCATAGCGTGACGTCCATCCCTGGCAGTACCGGCCGCACCCCTCCAGCACTATCCTTACAAGGGGGTTGGTCACTGAGTCACTGCGGCTTCGACGCAACGCGTGCAGGCCTGTAATCCTGACACAGTGCGTGCAGCTGTGGGACCATAGCTGGTACACATGCGAGCGTTTACGCATTGCGACTTTTACGCGCGCCTGTTTTCACACACCTAGACACAAACGAGCGTCGACGCAACGCAGCCTCTCTGCAGAGCCGTGTGGCGCAATCTGACCGCAACGGAGCTCCTCTTGAGCCTTCTTATGCCTTCTTGTGCTCTCTGGCTTTGTTGGTTTCATCCATGATTGACCAAGGGGCACGTTCCTGAAACACCGGAGACAGTCCCTCACCAGAAAAGGTCCCGACAGCTACTCGGTCCGTCTCTACCTTTCGTGTTTCCCCGCTCAAGTCAGGGAGACTAGCGTTATTTGCACAGAAATCAATTGCAGTACAAGTCGAACATGTTTTGACAGGTAAGAGGACCGATTTGACTTCATGATGACTGGATAGCTGTTCCAGAATCTAGCACGACACCCACTGCCCAGGTTTCTGTGGCCTCTCCTCCCTCCCCACCATGTGCAGGAGAGCTCTCCCTAGAACAATAGGTTGAAGAGTATACAGTATACAGTAATATAGTATTCCTAAAGCTTTCAGGTAAGCAGCAAACATCGGAAGAATCAAGATCGAACAGCCTGAGTTTGCTTCTACTCAGCTCCTGAATTTGCCTTAAGCAATGCCCTTAGGATCGATGACAGTGAGAAGCCCAGCCACGGTCGGGTGCTCAAGACGTCATGGTACAGGGACAAGAAGGAAACTCCTGGAAACTCTTCGGGACTTGCTACAAGCACCTTCCTCAAGTAGCCAATTCATGAAGTATGGTCCTCCATAGAAGGCCATGGTTGGCACTCCAGACATCCCCAATGGTACACATGGCCCATGGTTGGACGATATGTTTGTGGGATGAGTCCGTAGGCAGTTTTTGTGGGGTTTGGTCGCTAGACTGAATTGATTTTAATCCAGTCTGGGTGGTCCTCTGTACTGTTTACTTTTCCCATTCCCTGGGAAGAATACTGTAATACAATCGACAAATATTTTGAGGGATGGTTTGAGTGACCACCCAACAGTTGATAGGGTTTTGGGAAACCAACGTGAGCGTTACTTCCCTTTTCAGGACAAGCAAAAGCACCGGTGAAGACATGGTTTCAGCACTGTACCAGCTGATTTGTGTGTCAAGAGTGCGCTGTAAAGACAAGGAAAGATGAAGGATGGGTCCTAAACGGGCCTCCAACATCACCAAGAATGATCACAGCCTTTGGCATAGTTTCAAGCTGGGCGGTTTGCCCGTGGAGGCGTTCCTTGTGGCGATTGGGGAAGCCTTCGCTTCAGAAAGTCAAACTGCCTCACCAAGGCTTCATCAAGCGCCTGGAAGGGGGTATGGGTTCGGAATGCCCAGCATTTGACGGGAGTCTTGGGTGTTGGCTGCAGGTGTCCCTTATTTTTTCTCCTTTTTCTTGGGTCAAGAAAGATGAACCTGCTCCTCGTCCGCGACGGTTTTGCTCATGTTTGGTGGGGATTTGATCCGAGTGAATTCGGATTCGGACTTGGCTTGTGGCTGGGATTTGGCCCCTACTAGGAACAAGAAGCTACTAGGAACAAAGGGCATCGCTACTAGGAGCAAGACGCTACTAGGAACAAAGGGCATCGCTACTAGGAGCAAGAAGCTACTAG